GCCTTGTAGTTTTACGTATAGCCCACCACAACAGGTGTTTCGCCATGGCTATTGAAGTCGAAACTTCACATAGGGCTAAATATATCTATTCTAAGAAGTTGGGAAGGGATTAGGCCTTTGCTCAACTCGGAGGCCAGTCCGCATGTACAAGGGAGGACCAAGTGCCAAAGTAAAGGCCAGACATCAGGTGATCACATACATAAAGTGTTGCATACCGTCTAGCTAATATAGGCCTGTCAGACAGTCTAGTCTAACTGTGTACTTGGCATAGTAGCTTCCACGTTATAAGTGTCAAATTTTTTCTCCTATTAGAGTATCGAAACGGTCAGCCGGTAATGCCACGAACCATCTGAGCAGGATTGTCAATATCTTTCTTTTAAATTATTGGATTTTGGGCGGAATTAAAGCGAAGACCTAAGATTGCATAATGTTATCGAATGCACTTTTATGTGATATCGTAGTGCACAACTTCACTTTTTGAGTCATATTTTAATTTTCCATTTACAAGTAATTGTAATCCTACAATGCTTGTAGTCTTTTGAATTTTTTGCGCAAAATAGCATCTGTAGGTCATTCTGGTTTCTTTGTCTGCGTGTAATAACTTATCATCCCATAGTGAGTGAGCGTATGGATTCACCCGAGGATAAAGTGACATTCTTTAGTAGGTGACTTGCAGTTTTCTCCAACATTCTTTTTTAAATTAGATGATAACTCTCCACCTTCACCGGCAACAACTGACGTCCGTGATTATGCTCATCAACTCAGCGAAAGGAAACGTCTTGAAGATCAGAGGCGTCAGGAAGATAGGTTCCTGCGCCGTTCACTGCGTCAATCAGATAAGCTACGTTCCCTGGCCCGTGCTAAAAGAGTCGCTAAGGAATTAAAAGAAGCCACTTCAGCTCAAAATAACTTAGCGTTCGATGATAGTGAGGGTAATTTGATATGCCCTCTTTATATGCTTCTTCATTACCGAAACTAGATGACCAAAATTACGGCGACTTCATTCGTGATCTACGGCAAAGGTTAAGGAAGGGTAAAGTGGTAGGCAGTGAGTCCTCAGATATTGACGAATTGGCTGACGAGGAATGGGAATGGTTAGCAAACAAAGTCTCCGACAAATCTGTTCTCCAAGCTTTTAATCTCCATAATGTTATCGCATCTGCTTTTGAAAGAACTCGGGCAAAGATGGGTGATATTCCAATGGACCGTTGGGCCGGCGGTGACTGTGCCATCCCGGCGCTCAATGCAGTCACTTGGGATCTCAAAAATGTCCCTTCGGTTAATCGAACTCCCCAGATTGTGGAACTTCTTGCTATATTGAGGAAACCTCAAGTTGTGGTAAGCTATTTATAGATCGGCTTTGGTACTCGTCTCTCGCTCCTCTAGGAAGTGTTAACCGCTTTCGATGATGTGAAACGAGTTTGGATGGAGCAGACAAGGGGGAAGATATTTACTTTCAATGATAGTCCGAATGTCGAAACTGTAGAAAGAACAGTCTACCCTAGTCCTGTTAAGGGCTGCTACAAAATTCTTGCTGTCGACGATCAAGGTAACACTGTATCAACTCCTGACGGAACTACTCTCGTCAATGTTATTTTGCAAAAATCTGGAGAGGACTTCTTTGTAAGCCTAAATTTGATTTGTTTTTGTATAACACATGGACTTACTAGGGTGCTACCGTGCGAAATGAGGGTTCTGCGATTGTGATTGGGCGAATCATAAGTGGAGGCTTGATTGAACGAACTGGTAATTGTTTTTTTCCTTATTTGGTCTTCCGTCATATTGTTTGGAAGCAAAATTTGGATTTGCACATCTTTTAGGACTACTGAACGAAGGGGATGAGCTTCTTTCGGTCAACGGGGTCGATTTGATGGGCAAGGACGTAGATCATGTCTCGCATATTCTTGTTAGTGGTCGCCGTTACCCATTAATTAATGCACAAAATCCAACACATTACGCGATATTTTATGCGACTAAAGTACATGCTCATAGTGTGCTGCGATAACGGTTCGTTGCTGTGAGAACTTTCTACCCTCTTTCAGGATTCGCACCATCTGATTAGGTAATCTTGCATGTTTTCTGTTTTGCTCAGTGCCAATTCGTTCTGTTCTTATGTATGTGCATGTGCGCAATTGTGTGCAATCAGTTTCTGATTGGGCGGTGCCTGTGCCTTTTCTCTCGTTATTATGTGGATGCTGCTATTCTCAATAGAATAGTTTACGTGTAATATGGCTTGCTAACTCGATCTTTGTTAGACAAATCTCGATGGACATATCGATCTACTGGTCGCGCCAGTTGTGCCGATAACAGAGGCATCGCTCTTTCAAGAGGATCCTGTGGTAAGTGCCAGCGATATTATTTCCCCTTATTGCAATTTAGTTGATCAATATAACTTAGAGACAAATTTCTTGTTTCGGGAATAAAGCAATTTATCTAAGTCTTAGTTGTACGATTTTTGTGTCTTTCCCGTGGGTATGCATCAAAGTTGTACTCTTCAGGTTCAGAAAAGATCGTGGCTGTTATCTCCTTCCACATTAGCAGCTGCTGAGAGACGTTATATATTGAATGATATGGGGAGCGAAGGTTGCAAAGTCTAAAGACTCGTTCGGTTCAGTTTTTTAGCAGTCGCTATCGCAGGTTTTCTGAAGATAATTTATTCATCGGTAATGCGGACTCCTGCCAGCACTGTCATTGCCTTCCGGATAATAATATCTAAAAAGAGGTTTGGTTGGTCCTTCCATGCAGAATCATCTCCACAAGAAGGCACGTCAGTCTTTGATCTTGGCGTAATTGTTATAGCTCTACTAATAGAAGACTTAGGCTTAAATGAAACAAAGCTAAGGTTTGAGCGTATGTTTCTGGGGTTCACACTGTTGCTTGCACCACTTTTGATGCAGGTCCTCCTTGGTTGTCCCGCTATTAAAATGCAGAAGTTCTCCGTTTCGCTTTTTCGTGCCGCTTGCTAACTGTCTACAAACTAATGAGTTACTGAGACAGTGTCGGATGTGTGTATAATTTTTTCTTTAGGCGCATTTGCGAGCTCTCTTCAGCTACGAACCTGCAAATGACATCTACAATCCCTGCCCAGAGGCTAGCGTTGCCTTCGACAAGGGGGACATCTTGCGGATTCTAAACACCCGTGATCCCAATTGGTGGCAGGCTCTTAGGTGTGTTTCACCATCCCCGTCGCATTTTTATTGTGTGCACTCATCTGACTGCTAAGTGAACCTTGATCTTTGTGTATTGTGGATTTTGTGATGTCTCCTCCAAATCTTGTCCTATTTTCATTCCTCCAGTCCTTTTTATTACCACTTTAACGCTGTCAAGATCATTCTCATACCCTTGCTAATGTTAATCCATCAGAATTATTCATCGGATTACGCTTTTAATAATCCAATTCTGTTCTTTATTTCTTCCCACTGTGCAATAGTTGAGAAAGGTACGTATTTACAGCACTTAAGCTGAAAATTGAATAGTCCACAGCAGATGCCTTTATCCTCTAGCATTCTTCTGGGCATCGCAAATGGCTGAAAAGTTCATTTGTTATACCGCTTCCCTGATCCTCTTCTCCCTTCACAGAATCGAAGAGACGGGTGCTGTGGGTGTATCTGGCTCAATGGCGGGACTCGTCCCCTCGCCTTACTTCCAACGTTATCGTTGCCTCCTTCGAATAAAGCGGGAAGGCGCCTACACCGAGGATGCAGCAGCCGGCTATTCTGAGTCCGAGGCGTCTGAGCAGGAGGATGGTGGGGCAGATGTAGTACATGGCCTTGTTGATGGTGACATCTCCTCGTTGAACGCATCAAGGAGCAGTTTAAGTCTATGGATGTCGTCAAATGCGACTACCCCTACAACTGGAGGGGATGGACAGGGCTTCGAGGCACTTGGTGAGATCTACTTTCATGATAAGATATTGGGTTTCGGGATTATTGCAGTGCTTAGCATTAAACGGGTGCAATTATCTATTCTCGTCATCACTTTATTTTGTCTGATTAATGTAATCTTCATTTTTATTATCACTAGTACGATAGGCATAATGTTTCATAGCCATTTCTGGTTTATAAAATTCCATTTTTATCGAGACAAGGAATACCTCTGGAGCTCCCACGGCGTTGGTCCGAAACAGCTGAAGAAGTTGCGGAAAAAGAGGTCACGAAAAACGCGCCTTCTTAACGTGGTTACAAGTCGCTTTACTCATTCCACTTCCCGTCGCGCCAACGAATACGAGATTTCCAAGGGTGCGCCTTCGTCTCTCCATCCATCCGTCTAGCCTTATTTTCTTCAATGTGATCTTCTCTCTCTTCACAGAAATCAGCAGCCTCAGGCAAACTGACGGCGATCAATTGCGACAACTGGTAGAGGAATCAGTAAGGGACAAAATTCGTCGACCTAGCCTTCTCACATACGAGCTGGTTGATCTTTACTACCCTCAGCCTGAACGCAAACGTCCTTTGGTCTTGGTAGGCCCTAAACATGTCGGCAGGCAACAATTAATAGAAGGGCTATTGCGGAGTGAACCAAGGCGTTTTTCTATGCCCATTATCCGCAAGTCAATGTCTTGTCTGTAAACGTATTTTTAGTCCGCATCTTATGTGCTTTGATTGACGCCTAGTTTCAAAACTAATACTTCCTGTCTGTCTACAGATGATTGGAGATTTGTGACCTTTATGCGCATGTGATTGTTTGTCACAATTTTTACCTCGGTGTCAATATCAGATGGGCCGTTTTTTCCCCTGAATGGTATAGAGCGACCCAAAATTTGGTTTCTTTAATTACTGAGCTTTGTCGTATTTTTTGGCTGTTTGCATGATATCAGACTAGCGTGAGAGCTTTTTGCTCGAAGTACGTGGTCATTAGTTCCCATCAGATCGGCGGCCACTTTCTTGGTGACTGACTCCTTCCTTTTACTTAGATACCACTGATCCTGAGGCTAAGTCGACGGAATTTCAGACCTACGAAAACGTGACTAAGCAGGACTTTCATCGTCTGCACAAAGAACGGGCCTTTGTTGAGTGGGGCGTCTATAATCGTCACTACTATGGCACCAAAGTTGCTAGCATTGAGAGCATCATTAAGGCTGGCAAGGTCTGCGTACTCGCCCTTCGACCTGATGTGAGCTACTGCTGTTTTCGCCGCGCGTTTGGTATCTCTCATTATCGTGAGATTGAGGGGTACCTTTAATATCTCCTATCTATTTAGTTAATACAAATGTAAAGATAATGTGAACTACGATTTCTTTAATCAAATCAGACGGTTTAAGAATACAATGGCTGCAATTTAGCGTCACTTATAACTTCTACTCTCTTTCCTTTCTAACCCGATCTGACAGTCAATTCGAGCCATTAGAAGGACACCCTTTCTGCCCTGCGTTATCTTTGTCTCACCACCAGACAATCTGGAGGAGATGCGCAAGCTCAGCAAACAGTGGACAAACTCGGCAGCCAATATTCCCGTAAGCAAATTTACAGTTTGCACTGAATGCTTCAGCAGATATTTTCAGTATTTGATTTTTTTCCCCTTGATAGTCTGATGTATTTACTTTATAATGGAGCACTTCAGAGTAGTACAAATACCACTTAATTGTATCCATGGTAATGGTGAGCCAAGGCTCATGGGTATAGTTCCCAAACGACCATCCCACTGTGTCACCTGTCTGAAGAAGGCCATACTTCGGCCCTAGAGAACTCCACTCCTCAATGGGAGCTTGGAGTTGGAAGTGAAACTGAGATGGAGGAATTTGTGGCTACATTTGACTTCTGGAGAAGAAACCGATTCGCATTAATTTTGTGCCCCAAGGAAGGAAACTATGACTTATTGTAAGAGCTTACTCCAACAAGGAAACTATTTAAAGGGATCGTTTCTTCTGTGCTTCGTTATAGCGAAGTATTACAAGACTATTTGTCTGTATCCCGTTTAAAAGCATTACTTAGAGTTGGGCGAAATCCTTTTTCAGTCGCACTTCACTCGGTATCGCTTGATATATATATATATATATAACATTTCCCCAGGCGCTTCTACTTTATCCACAGATCTGTTGGTTCAACCAGGGTTTATATTTCCTCTCACTAGGATGAGGAGTTGAAGGCATGCATAGAAGAGAGTCAGAAGATGGAGCAGCACTATGGACACTTCTTTGAGTTTCTCATTATTCCGCGAACCTCAGAGACAGCGCTGGCAGAGTTGAAGCAGGCAGCTCTAGATTTGGAGCGTCGACCACAGTGGGTGCCGGCGCAGTGGATCGATCTCGCCTGGCAAGTGGCAGCCCAAGCCAGCATCAACGCCACAGGAACAACTAACGATGCCGCCCTACTTATCTCGGATTGATTGGTATCGCTAGTTCCTGACCTCTTTTTGACCCATCCTTTCCCCAGATCAACTCGACTTGTTGCTGTCGCATAGGAATTATGTATGCCTCATTGGGATCATGCTTGAAAGTTACACGAGTTGTTCGGTCCAACGTAAAGGTCGAAATAACAGCCTTCGATATTTCCGGTTCACTTGTTATTTGAGCAGAAACTGTTGATGATGTTCGGCTAGCCTAGAAGGACGTCCTAAAGGCACTGTGTGGGATGTTTGAAGTGGTGTCACACTGCTAAAATGGTGAAAGTTAACAAACCCACTCCGTTAGATAGGCTGTTAAAATTGGCGGTCTGTGAAGCTGAGGTGAGTAACGGTGAGCTGGCGTCGACCACCAAGATTCAATTGGTTTTGAAGCCGTAGAGAGTCGCGTGCATAGACTTGGTTTGGTTTAGACCAACAGGGAAACTGAACGATTATTAGTAGCAGATGGGAGTTGGAACCAAAATGTAAAACTGTGGAAAGATATCAGTGATGTGCTTCCCCATCAGACACCTCCTCGCCCATTGCAGACTGTAAGCTTTCTTGACTACACCAATCTGTAATCTCACCGCTTCTTCATCGTTTCCCGTTACCTTAGATACTAGCTGCTTGCTGGAAGTCGAAATATTTTATTTTGCCATAAGGTGGAATTACAAAGCTACTCAGTTCTCTAATTTGTACATGATAGGAAAATTTCCACTCTAGCTACACATGCATCCAGGATGCATTTTTGTGTTTGCGAACTCCGCATCCGCACAACTCAAATGTTCTCACCTTGAAGTCGGATTTTAGATTTGATACTATTGTCAAGAAGGGCAACTAGAAGAGGTAATTGACTGGCGGTTTTGAATGGCGACCTTTGTGTCACGAGATTGGTCAGGCAACAATCGGCGAACTGAACCGAAATCGTAACTGCGGACTTGGGTAGAACGCATCGCAAGTGTGAGGACGCTGTCGATGTCACTTGCCATAGTCGACATTCCCCTTCCATCAGAGGTTGCAGGTGTTGCTCGGGGCCTCGAACCTGAGTTAGATCCATACACCCACTCTTATGCATGCATTTGTCTTCACTCGGGGCAGAACCCAGCACTACTTCGCGATTTTCCGCGCATTTTGATCACCTTCATTTCACATCAGTTCCAACCGGCTGATATCCAAAACTTCACATCTGTACATCAAAGGCCCTCAAAGTTTGAACACTACATACCTAACGATGTGGATGCTAATAGTTGTGGAACAAGTACAGTCCATTACTTTGAACAATAACCCTTTGAAGTTGGATGAGAAATGCTTATTCTATTTCGGTCTGCAAATATCACTGGGCTATCCGTTCAGGAAGAGGGGTACTGCATCCCTGGGCGTCTCCACCTTTCAGAGTCGACGGTTTGAAGTGGGACTGAGATGAAGGTGGCTATCGTCAGCTTGTTAGACTTATCTGCGGAGCCTATGAGCCTTCAAAGAATATTTCAAGATATTTCCTTAGCTCTTCATGAAAACTTGTGCGAAATTTATCATCGTTATATTTGAACGACACTCATCAAGGCCTAGCAATGTTCCACGGTACTCGAATTTCCAACAGCTTTCTAGCCGTATCTACTTCGCCAATGGACCAGCAGCACCGTTGGGTGAGGAGGTGCGTTTAACGGTGATTTAGCGATTCCTAATGGAGTGGTCAAGCTGGACTCATGTGACAGTTCTTTTCAGCGTGCTTGCGTAGTAAGAGCAGTTTCAACAGTTTTTAAGGGCTCCTCCAGGGTCGAGAGGGTGCAAAACTCATGACTAAGTTTTTGACGCATGATTTAATGCGTACAAGCGATTTCTATGAGTCTTAACTGACCCAAGAGGTGTTCTCCACTTCGATGAGTCAAGACTCGCAGAGCATTTCGATGGGTTTCACTGATACTTGTGTCAGGTCATGTAACATGTCCTTCCTTTCAACCTTTTGCCGATTGAACATTTAGCCAAACGATGGTAGGTGAGGCTTTAGGGGCGTGTAACTTTTCCCAGCCTTAAGTAGTGCACCTCCAATCATAGCCTAATAATTTTGCGACGCATTTTATGAAAATCTCTGAAGGCGAAAATTGGCCTTTTTAAAAAGACCCTACTAGACCAGTTGCCATCTAAATCTGCCTTTAGAAGTCCCCCGAATGAACTAACGCCACGTCTATTGCAGCATCACATTAACTGCCTATTCTAGGGCAAAGTTAGTGCCCCCGTACTGCTAGAGTCATAGGCAGATGACATTTTTGAGGTAGAAAAAGATGTGGTGGCTTACTTTATATCTTTGTGATGTAGCCATTTTGCACCTCAAACCAGTTAGTCAGCATTTAAACTCTCGTCAAAGACGTATACTTGAAAAGACAACAGTGGAGAATGGGATGGTGGTGGGTGTAGCTCATTGATTTGGCAAGTCTTACGACACAAACGTGAACATCCGCGTCCTCCTCCTCCAGAGTGGTCGATGCAGGCACTAACTAGTCACCGCTCTATGATTCAGGTGAAACACCACCACGTTTATTTACTTATACCTCAGCCTCCGACATTGGGCACATAATATCAGATGCATCCGAGCAAATAACCACCTCGACTCGTGGTTATAGTGCAAGCAACGCACGACTTACACATTCTTCCAAGAAGATGTGCGTAGGAGAGGTTAGTCTTTGCAAACTTGAGACACAGTGGACGGAATGAACTGACACCGCGGTATGTAATGGGGTAACGTGAGGAAGCAAATAGGGCGAAGCTCAGTGATATGCAGTGGTGGACTGACTCATCCAGTAACAGCAGAACTCATTCCTACTGGACTTTAAGATTCCGTTTGCTATTTTTTGTTGCATCAATAACTGCCTGAAGACAAAGGAAGTAGCAACACTTGAATGGAATATGTACTTTCGACATGCAGGCGAGATAATCGGCCAGAGGTGTGACCGCCCAGTCAGGCCACAATGGCGGACACCGCGCGTGACCATGACATCACAACCAAAAGTTAACCAACAGAACGGACTTTATTAGGACCTTCACTCTCTATACCAGCTTCCTCTCAGCATCCGATGGTTAACCACGCCTTTTAACAGTATTCTTCCATCAATTTTCCTGTCTTAGCTTTTTTGTTATTTGTTGATGAATAATTCTAATAAAACAATCTTTTAGAGTGCTTTGATTGCAGTCTCTCTCATAAGGTAATTACTATTAGGTCTTCTTTCATATTGTCATCACTGTTGGGCAGATCGACAACACACCGTCAAGTAAACTCACCCCAACTGGCAACTATTCTGACTACTTTACGCAAATAGCTTTTACAGCTTTTTACAGGATTGTATTAATCTTTGGAGGAATAATCAACGCCACGTCATCCCCCAGCAGTCCCTCTAACCTTGTATTTTTTAAGATTGTAAAGTCAATTACGACTACAATTATGGATACGCTCTCTACATAAACTGCTTATGATATTTGCATGAATCGCAGTGGCATTCAAAGTACCCAATGATTAAAACTACGATGTGATAGATGATGCCAAAGTAATGAACAGAGCTATGCCTGGAGGAAGGGTAAGGAGTCAAACATCGTAGAAGTATTCCAAGCAGGCGCAATCTTCTTTTGACGCTGTTCAAATAGAACTCTGGCCTTACATAATCGTCAAGGCTTACCACTGACGTTGGGTGATTTCTTCCAACCGCCAAAAATATTTTAGTGCACCGTCAAAGAATTCAGCGTATTTCGATGCGGAGAGGTGACCAAAGTTCCAGCGACAAAAGAATTTAAATAGATGTGCTAAAAGTCTTTGGATTTCTCTTATTAATCCAACAAAAACTTGAGCTTTGTTTTAATTGTTTTGTGACTTCGCATAAGAGTAAGTAATTAATTATAAAAAGGAAATAGGTATGCATATGTATGGGAAAGCTAGTTGAAACCTAATACCTTGCCGATTTTTGAAAATTCGTGCCGCATGTGCTGGTATCTTTTGCCGTTAAGCTATGAAAATTGAAGGTGTAGCAAATTATACGGGGCCTGACTTATTATAAACCTCGTCTGAAGGGTTTTGACACTTAATTTTTCCAATTTCTTATATTTCTACTTAAATTTATAAGTAAAAAGTGTTGATTACAAAATATAGGCATAGGTGCAGAAGCATTCTTAAAGACAACAATTTGGGTAAATGATGGAGCACGCGTACATTTCCTCCATGGAATACAGCACTTGAAAAGACAAAAAGATAAATTTTTGCTGTCAACAACTGTAGTAAATATGAAGATGTTGGCCTTTGTAAAAATTTGTTCCAACACTGCGGGCCAAGTTCGAGCATTCTGAACCGCACCATATTCATCGTGTTCAGCTGGGCATTTAATCAGCTTTGATTTTTTCCATTTTATGGCGCCTCGGTATGAAAACGTAGGAAGATGTATACAGTCTAAAATTTCCATTTGGGAGAAATCTTCTAATTAATATTGAAGCATGAATACGTCTTCAGGTTGTAGAAGAGATTAACCTTCCTTTTGAATACCAAAGGCGATTTCTTCCTCTGCGCAAGCATTCATTTAAAAAACTGTACTTATTTTCGGATTAGATGGTGATTGTTTGTGCTCATGGTACCTTTGCAACACAAACCGTAAAAAATCGATAAATGAGAGTTGACGTTTGTGCGCGGAGTCTTGCCGTCTTCTCCACAGTTTATTAACCCAGATAAGAATAATGAGTAAATTAATCCCATGTAAGAGTGTTCCTCTATTGCACACAATTTTGTGGGCAGATGGTGTTCGGGCGCACATCTGCATCCCCATAAATGGGGAGATAAAATTTTCTCTAAGAGGGAAATCAATCAGTGCAGTTGATCATGTCCTCAAAATTGGTTGTGAAGGTGAGCAAATCGGATGGGGTGAAGGGAAATGAGAAGGAGCAGTGGGCTCGGTTCAGGGGAAATGAGTGTAAGACGTAAATGCAAATGTTTGGCCTGCCTTCACACACATTCACAACACCCATAAGTCCTG